TGTTTGTCACCAAAAGCTGAAACTGTGTTTGCCGATTCCCTTGTCAGAAAGGTATTGGATGTAAATTACAAAAGAAGAGCTGTTGAAGAGCCTGTGAAGTTTCCTCCTTACGTGAAACTTTAAGACTTCACAATACTAATACAGCAAAGTTAACTGGCTCTGTAAAACCCTCTTAAAATTACTCTAGATTTCTGAAAAGCTTGGCAATGACTGTTTGTGCCCCTTTTGGATTCACCTCCAAGGGTGGAAGCTCACAGGAAATAAGGGAGCTCACAGGAAAATAAGTACCAGTCAGTACGCAAATGTGACTGCAAATCTGTTTCTGACCTGGTGTGTTCATCTGGCCAGAGACTAGAGACCATACACCTGATATCTGATTTTGAATATCAGAATGTTTCAGGAATATCTTCTGAGCTCAAGAATCATTAGCAGAAGTTCAGCAAACAGATGCAAAAGAAATGTGAGAGAGAACTACAAACTGCTTTTAAAAAATGAGAAGTACCTGCTAGGTCTAGTCATATGAGTAAAGATCCATACACCAGGTCAAAATAGGAAGAATTTTGAATATCAGAATTTTTCAGGAATATCTTCTGAGCTCAAGAATCATTAGCAGAAGTTCAGCAAACAGATGCAAAAGAAATGTGAGAGAGAACTACAAACTGCTTTTAAAAAATGAGAAGTACCTGCTAGGTCTAGTCATATGAGTAAAGATAATGTCCCACAGGTTTCTTTTGATTACAAGCATTTATGGACTAAAAATGCTTCACACTGCTATTTCTCTATGTACAGGTAGCACTGCTGATGGAATATTGCACAGAGAATGCCTGAACAGGAGATGTTTGTGCCGATAACTTTAAGGAAGACTCTAATCTCATTGCCTACTCTTAAACACTTGAGCTTTCGAAAGCAAAAGCAGAGACCTGGTGGGAAAAAATCCCTTCTGGATTTTTCATGGTGTTGTGTACATGTATAAAAATCTGTGCTCCTTTTTTCATTTTGAAATTCACTGTGTTGTGTATATTCAAGTACATTTTTAATATATTCTCACCAATGAAGTAATAATTTCCATTTCACTGCTATTTTATTTGTGGATTTTAATGTTCAGCTTGGGTCCACACAGAGCTGCATTGTAATGTCAGAAGTAATGAATCGATGACTTCCAGTGAATGAGGTTACAGTCTGGAAAGTTTACTGAACAGCTCATTTTAGAAGGCATTTACAGGGAAGTCCTTTTTCAGTGTTTTAAAGAAACCTTCACTGTCAGAAACTAGACACTGCACGTGTGTTAAGTACCTAAATCCACTTGATTTCACTTAGCAATATAATAACAAACATCTTCGAAAATCCAGCTCCTAGACCTTTAAGGTGCTCAAGCTTTTGACAATCCATGCTTGAACACCACATTTAATGGGATTTGGGAATCCATATGCTTTAGACAGCTTTCAAAAGTCTCAACATTGAAGTTTTCTAAGCCTCAGCTTCCATGAAGCAGCAGCAGTAATTCCCTTCTCCCACCCTTTTTGTGTCAGTTCAATGTAAACAGGTCACTGACACTAGGACTGTATATTAGCATATGACAATGTCAGATGCAGTGGGCTGCTGATTCTGATGTCACACAAATACATATAAATTTGTGTAGAGTCAGGAAATTAAACTCACTCGACATTTATTAGAAGTATAACGGTCTTAAATTTTTGTATAATTATAGGGACAAAGAACAGAGGAGGTGGAAGGGAAAAGTGGGAAAGGAATCAAAATAGTCATTGACACATGGCAGTCTGTATATTAATGGAAAGATTTATTTTTTATTGATATTTTTGCAGTCTTTAGCAGTGCCCACAGATCTAAGAATACGATGATGCACAGGCACATTAACTTTTAACAGCAGTTGTGCAGATTTGACCTAACTCTGCATCTCCAAGAGAACCAGATGGTAGCAGAAGCGACAGAGAAACCACAGAGCACATCAGTTTTACCACAGTACGGTATGAAGTAACTTACCATGGAGCACTTACTGGCAATTAAAACATTCCAATATTAAACATTCATAGATTGTTCAATGCAAAAATGGTGGGTGTAAGCAAAGCAAGTGTTAAAATTTGGACAGAGAGATGCAGGCAGCAATTAAGCTATGGTCCTTTTCTTTCTTCTTCCTAAGAGGAGTCCATACAAGTTCAGAAGAGCTCTGGGCTTCTACCTAAAACCACTCTGGAATACATCTGTATTAAACCCTAGAATATATACTAAACCCTATTCACTGATGGCCAGGCTTGTTGGACAATTTCCAAATGGAAATTCTTCCTTTGAGAGAGGTGGTCAGTGGTATTCAGCCACACAGGTACGGGACCACGAGAGCAGCTGAGACAGCAAGAGGTTCCCTCCTGCTTTAGCACTGGCCACCGAGAGATGTATGCTCCATGTCACACTTGTGCTAAGTGGCTTTGTATGTCCATAGTGAATGCCAAAACAGATGGAGTCCAGCACTGCCATCTGTTAAATGATATGTTCTCCACCCGATCAGCACCACTAGTCAGGAGCAGTGAAGCGTGTTTCTGGGCTGGAGGCGAGAAAGTCTTGTCAGAGCTGATTCTTGACTTAAGTCAGTGCGAAAGTGCCAATTTAACTGTAACTTCATGTTTGCATTGTTGTACATGAGGGAGAAATGGGGTTTTACTTTTCTTTGGGAAAGTCTTTTTAAAGCTGTGGTCATAATACAGAAGTGCCATGAGCACTGGACCAGCAGGGAGGAGTTACTAAGGAAGAAGGTGAAATTTAGACTTGTGTGTCGGAGGGTAGCACACAGTCAGATGTTTAAAATCTTGATACCCAATTTAGAGGTAATAATCCTTAGATGCATCTGCAACCTACAGTAGATCTCGCCCTTACCAAAATAATGGTGTCTAGAGAGCAAAATCCTTATTTTAAAAAAAAAAAAAGAAAAAAAAAAAAAGAATCCTGCCATTCCTAAAACTGCCCTCTCCCAGAAGGGTGCTGCTCAGTTGTACTGTGGAAAGTGCTCATGTTAAAGGGTGTCTTTATATCAGTGTTTCAGTCAAGGTCAGCACCACCCTCCAGAGTGAATTTCCAAGTCAGACCCACTTACCATACTTTGTTTCACACTGCAGAGTGGTCTCAAAGCACACAAGTGGATCTCTTCTGGATGAAACCAACCCAGATGTGCTCACAAGGTGCTTTGAGAGCTAACAGGTATTCAGCGCGTGGGCCGACACTAGCAACCCTACTGGATGCCTACAGTGTGGATAACAGCTCTGATGGTTTTGCTCTGCACATCCTCCTCTATGGGTCTGCACTACTTGCTAACACAGAGAGAAGTGTAAAGCACCCAAACAAAGGAGCTACCCTCTCAGAGATTTAAAAAAAAAAATCTAACCAGGTGAAATTTCATCTTACTATGCTATAGAGAGGAGGAGATGCCTTTTATCAGTCTTACCTCTCTGCCTGGTTTTTAAAGATCCTCACTTTTGGTGCAGACACGGAGGTGGAAATGTGATGCTCCAGACTGTAACAGAGGAATAATGTTATCATCTTCTCCAGTGAGTTTTTGCTCAAAGTTCAAATGGATCTCATGCTTGCATCCTTACACAACAAATCCACGCCCAAAGGTAATCAACTGGCGTGTGGGGTGCATCTCCTGTCAAAGTCACCCAGCACAAGCACATTCCACTTACTCCAAGCTCCATTTACAGGAGTGAGAGGACAATTTATGGTATGCCAGGTTGTCCACAACCTTTATATCCATTGCATTGTTGCTCTTACATCTTAAACCCCTGACAGGAGAACTTCAATTTTTCTCTGCCATTTCTGATCAGACATAGTCTAAGAATACATCAGCATGGAAGTAATTTATCTGAGGAGCCTCTGACACCAGGTAAGTGATGTTGATCTTTAACACTGTTATTTTCAGTGGTGTTAACAACACTAATTCCAACACTGACAGGCTCCCCCTGTAGTCCTGAAACCTTATTTTTGTTTAGCTGGGGTGAGAAAATGGGAAATAAACTTGCAACTCGTTTGAACATCTTCAAATAGTTCATAGGCCTTGAACGAGCCCTCAGTGTTGTGATGAATCGGATGCTATGTAATTCCACTACGTGCATGTCTCTTCAGGATGGAAAAATACAGATTGCATCTGTTCTGCACTTCTGCATAGTGCCTTCACCCAACAGAAGACCTGTTAGGAGATCAAGCTGTCACTGCAGTTAAATGTCGATCAAACTCCGCTAACCTTACCCAGGGAAGTTGTTGGCTGTGCTGAAGTCAAGACAGATGGTCACTTCGGGGAATGTTTCTTTCATGGCAAGTGCTCATCTGAGTAGGAATATTTCTAGCTGGATGAGTCACCCTTTCTAGCTTTGGAACTTGGAATCGGTTGATTGCTGCATGAGATACCAAAAAGTTATTTTTTACGTAGGGATATTCAAAGACATGGCAGAGGCTGAAAAATACATCTTCAAAGCATCTTGCAGTGGTTTCCTTCTCCAGTAGGAGTATTATACAACACGTGTAGATTGATTAAAAAACAATCCCCCATCGTTTTCTTTGTTCTGGAAACTGTGATGAAATGTCTTTTTAATATTTTTTCTTTTTACAAAATCATGTGGTACTTGATATAAAAAAATCAGTCCAACAATAGTAAAATGCACTAAATCATAATAAAATTGCTAAAACTTAGAATTGGAAGAGAATGTTTGCTTCTGTTAATTGAATAGGCTTAACCTGGGGAAAAAAAAAAATTGGAACTTGGAATCGGTTAAATTGGAAAAGACATTTAAGACCATCAAGTCCAACTATTAACCTAACACTGCCAAGTCCACCACTAAGCCACATCCTTTAGCACCACATCTACACGTCTTTTAAATATGTCCAGGGAAGGTGACTCAACTGCTTCCCTGGGCAGCCTGTTCCAGTGCTTGACAACCCTTTCAGTGAAGAAATCTTTCCTAATATCCAATCTAAACCTCCCCTAAAAGGTAAGAAACTTAGAGTAAAGTGCAAAAATTAGAGCGAACATTTCTAATCTGTGGCTCTTCAGTAGCAGGTTTGACTCTTCTCTGGTTTAGAGGACAAGGACCACCATCTGCATGCTGGTTGCCATGGAGACTCCCATCGCTTCTGGAATTGTAAGTTTTGCCTGAAAGGAAACACTCCTTCAGCGTGAGTTTTTAATGACCATAGAGGCTTCTGTTTGTCAGCACACCATATACTAAATTAACTATCATGTCTAAGCAGGAGTAAAAGATTTTCTAGCAATCAGTGACAACATATTTACTCTGTATAAATCCCCAAAATACACAAATAGAATTACAAGACTGCTTTAGATTAGACTATTATGGCATCAAGTCAATTATCTCTCTTTTGGTATCAGCTACTTCAAAGCAGAATAAACTTCGGTTGTAGAACATGGGCATGGCAACAGATCCTTCTAACCCCTGCAGGAGACTGGCTTGAGGATGGCCAGGTCTCGCTCTCTCTCAGGCTTGAGTTGGTAGGGGCTTCCCCAAATCATAAGGGCAGTTTTCTAGCAAAAGAGGAGTACATGAACAATGGGGTCTGGACATGTGAAGAGCTGTCTAACTTCTATCTGTTCTGTTTGCACTGCCAGAAGGACTCTGGGGTTTGACAGCTACGTCAGCTGCTTTCTCCCTAGCACACAAGTAGCAGCTGGGATGGTTCTGAAGGTGAATTTGTTTGGCCCTAAACACTGTGCAGAATGGTCAGTTTAACCAACGTGGATACGTTGGCAGGAATTTCTGGCTTGAGTAAAACAGGGGTTATTCAGAAGAGGAATACAATAAAGCTGAAAGGTGAAGCTATTGTCTTTGCTAGATGGTAACTAAAATACCTGTTAAATTTGCAATTTTCGCTTGATTTCCTCGTCTGAGGCTGTTTTGTGTATCTGTGGGGCCATCAATATACTTCATTGCAATGGCTGGAGTCTGGTCCTTCTCTAGCTGAGTCTGAGTAACTGAAAAAAGAACAGAAAAGGCTATTTAATTGAGTTGTATTAACATTCACTTGTTTAAGGAGGGAAAGATACATCAAGCTGACTCTACCTTGCTGAGGACAACTTGGTATTGTTTCAGTCCTACCTTCTTGTAATGACTGAACAGATTCATGGCCAGAATCCAAGTCTTTCATTGGCCTTCCCATAATCTCATTCTCGGTTGCAGTTTTATTTCTAATGAGGAAGTATGTGTGCATTTTCCCTTTGCCTTTCACTTCTATTTCTCCTCTTTCAGTGATCTCAAAATTCTTGTATTTTAGGCATCTAAAATACCAGAAGCAAAGTGACAGATGAAAATGCAATATGATTAGCAAAAATGACACTGATGTTTTAGAAGAGCTATTGCAATCTAAGCAATCAAATCACAACAGTTCGGGAAAAATAGTATTGATCTGTGAACAACCGAAGGTTTGTTTCAACTGTTTATTTGTCTGCTTTGCTTTTATAGCTTTACATGTACAGCCTGATCAAAAATCAATGGGTCACACAGTCAAATACTTCAGTATGGTGGAGGGTTCTTACTAATCAGTAAATAGAAATTAAGAACTGAGGCAGCCAATATCAGTTAGATAGAACTATCTCAAGTCATTTCATCAGGCAATCAGGTTTGTCAAGCATTATTTACTCTCAGTAAATCCAGACTGGCCATTCCCAATTGCCTTCATCGTCTGTCCAAAAGTGGCTTCCAAGAGGATTTGATTTTCACTGGGACTGACATGAGGCTGAGCAGCCTATAAGTTCCCCAGCCTGTCCTCCTTGCTCTTTATCCATATTGGTGTAACATCTGGCTTTCTTCAGTTGCTAGAATGCTGATCTTCATGACTTTTCAAAGGTGACAGTCAGCAGAACCGTAACGCCATCACCCAGCTCTCTTGTTACCCTTGGAGGCATCCCATCTGCTCCCACACACTTCTATAGACTGAGATTGTCAAAAGATCCCTGACCTGATCCTCTTCCAACACTAGTACTTCACCTGCTCCTTGAACCCTGACTCGAGGTGCAGGGACCTTGAAGAGCTTGTCAGTGCAGACTGAGGCAGGAGAGGCCATGAGTAACTAAGCCTTTATTTAGGGCACTGACACTAAATCACCTGCCACAGCAGGCCCATGTTTCCATTTATACTTTCCTGCTAACATAGCAGAAGCTCCTCTCACTGCTTTTGAATCTTCTTTGCCCATTTCAATCCTAGTTGAGCTCTGGCTTTCCTAATATCATTCCTATGTGCCTAGACAATGTATTAGTACCCTTTGTAGGTTGTCTTCACTTCTAACTCTTGCATATATATTTTATGGATACATAAAATTCTTGAAAATGTACTATTTAATTTTTATTGACATGAGTTTCAGGAAAGTAAATCCCCCACTGCATGAACAGGATAGTGGTTTGTGCAGTTACTCCCTAGTAAATACAAATAAAAACTTTGCCAGAAATTATTGTCCTCAGAGAGATTTTAAGGCTTTTGTTATGCAGGATGTCACATGAAATGTTCTGACCATCTTTCTAGCATCTACATCACTCTCCTGGTAATTCCAAATAAGCTATCACAATTATTTTTTTCCCCATATATTGCTGTCTAGGATCGAGACTCTCAAACCTCTGTCTCCATATACAAGGGCATTTGAAATAAACAGAACAAATAAATCTCTTGGCTTTGCCAGATATTGTCCTCAGAGAGATTTTAAAGCTTTTATTATGCAGGATGTCACACGAAATGTTCTGATCATCTTTCTAGCATCTACATCACTCTACTGGTAATTCCAAATAAGCTATCAGAATTATTTTTTTCCCATATATTGCTGTCTAGGATCAAGACTCTCAAACCTCTGTCTCCATATACAAGGGCATTTGAAATAAACAGAACAAATAAATCTCTTGGCAAGCAGTGATTTTTTCTTTATAAGTAAGCTGCATAAATCAGTGACTAAAGACAGAATCATCTACATCTGAAAGCTGCAGCTGCCAAGTCAGTGTTTTTCAGCACAGCTTTTAACAGGCAAAGTTTCCATCATAGTTACTCACTGATAGGCACTGGAGCTTAGATGAATTTTACTTGGGACACCATGACTCTCCATCCGGGAAGCTATATTCACCGTGTCTCCAAACAAGCAATAACGAGGCATCTTTTCTCCAACAACTCCAGCCAAGACAGGACCTGTATGGATCCCAACTCTAATCTTTATAAAGACATAAAACACCCCCCAAGAATGTCACTTGTTATTTATTTAACATCTTTCTTAATGCTATCCAGCCACCTTACAGTTCATCCTAACACCATACTGCACACCAGTAAAATACAAATATCCACACGAAGAGGCAGAAGAAGAAGCAGACACATGCATCTTTGCATTCACAACTTACTTGGATAGGATTTCCAGAAACTGGGTTCTGTACTCCTTTAGCTGCTATTATCATCCCCAAGGCAAAGTTAGCAACTCGCTCAGCATGAGTGGGTACAGGCACCGGAACCCCACCTACTACCATATAGGCATCTCCAATTGTCTCCACCTTTAATTGAGAGGGACAAACATATCAGCATGCCATATATATCTTGCTCAGGTTAGTGCTTTGCTGATTGGGGCTCTTCTTACCTGCTCGTACTGCCCTTTCCTTCTAAAAGATGTTTCCAGTCACTAAAAAGCTCTAGCATGTGCGAGATTCCTTGAGACAGGGATCCATTCCTTGACTCTACACCAAAATAATCCCACACGTTCTGTCCCTGCTTACTTGACCCATTTTTAGATGTCAGTGTGAGAGACTCTAAGGAATAAGCATGCCATGAAAGTGACACACTTCTTGGGAAGACCTGTGTGCAAAGAACTATCCCCAAACACAGGCTCCTGAGCAGAAGGTTATCTGATAGCTTACTGCTATTAATTAGCTCTAATTCACAACTAGTGTTAAAAACGTGTTTCTTTTATAAAAGAGATTACTTTTTCAAAAAGTCACGATAAATCAAGGCAGTAGATTCACTGGTGACTATTGTTAGGGGGTTCACATGAAATTCAGAAGCCTGCAATCTCCAGGATGTCAGAGAATGCAAAATCTGAACAAAACAGCTTGGGAACATCCTTCCTTACAACCAGCTGTTTTCCCACAACATGCTGCAGCCTTTGAGACAAATGCTGAAGAGTTTGTCCTTCCTTCAGGCATCCGGTCTCCTTGAAGAGCACATTAAGGCACCTGAGAAATAGTTGGCATTTGTCCTTGCACAGAGATTTTGCTGGGAATACAATAGCCCTGTTTGAAACAGAATTCTGAAATATTTAAAATTCACCGTAAAAGACTGTTGTGCACTAAGGAAATTTTCTAACCTGCTCTTAGGAGACTTCATTGTTACATTTACCATCAGTAAATAAGAGATCAGTTTAAATTAGATTAATTGGATTTCTTAAAAGTGAACACCAATAGGAGAGCGGGAACATAATTTCATCTTTGGGTTTAGTGATTAGCATAATGACTTAAAGCAGTTCAGCACATTACTCTCAAAAAATGTGTTCCTGTAGATGTCTTCTGCAAGATAGCCAACCCTATAGTAATGCCAGTAATTTTCTATAACAAATGAAAAACAACTGTAAAAAAGCTACTAATGCAAATAGATTCCCTAATTATTTTTAGGCTGCAGTTGGAAATTTAATTTAACAAGATCTATTCATAACTTCAGACGTTTATAAGCTTGGGCCAAGTTTCTTTGATCAATTTCAATATTTCATTTCTTTCTCAATTCCTTGAGACAGTAATCTCATCCTCCCTCTCTGTACCGTAGTAACCTCCGTTAATATTAACAGGAGTTATATACAGGCATCAAAAGGAGATTATTACAGTGTCAGCTAATTTACTCACAATGTATGATTTAGATAGATTATGATGCTAATTTATCCTAAAATTTGTGGCCCATATCCTGGATGCTTCAATTATTGAATACAGTTTCATTACCAAGGCAGAACCTCTTCTGATTTCACAGTACAATTTACTGCAGGATGAACTGCATGCCTTGCCTGAGCAAGGAATGAATGAGATTTGGGTTTCACCCTTTACTGTTTCTGCCTTCCTAAATATTTAATGTGCTGCAGACAGACAGGAACTTAGGACTTGCTCTTCAGCTCATCTGGGTAACTGTGAAGATATTAGTAATGCTACTGTTATATGTCGGCCAGGGCTCTGATCCTTCCAGCACAGTTTGGACACAACACGTACGTTACAGCTGAGGTCTAATCAATGCTCTGCAGGTCAGCAGGAGACCTATACCATCGCCAAAGATCTCCGTGAAGCAAAACAAAGTCTAGGTATTATCTGGGTATTGTTTATAATGTTATTTCCCACTGAAGGAGATGCTTAATGACGTAGTGACTTATTTTACAACAGGTTGGAATAAAAGAACTAGGAAAATTATGTAAATTCGTCCATAAACTAGGATATCCTTTCATGCTGGGTAGACATTTGAGAGAGGAGACAGAAGAAGCAGGTAGAAGTTACATTCCTGTTCAAAAATTTTAAACATATTTAATCACACCTCTGTTTATTTTTCAGTTTCTTTGTGTGGTCACTACAAATATGAAGTATTTTAAGGTTTCTCAAAAATAGCACTGGGGAAGAGAGGATTTAATGCATATAAAAAAACCCCCAAACCTCCAAACAACAATAGCAACAACAAAATCTGTTTCCAGACTATTTACACAGCCTTTATCGATCAGTACATACCTTGTACACATCATGCACTGTGGTCAGTCTGTCAAATTGTAGGTACATTGAATTTAACATGAGAACTATCTGAATGGGTTCACATTGGGCACAAATGTTGGTAAAGGTCACAACGTCGCTGAATAATATGGTGCACTCCTTGAACTCTCCTGTGAGCAGAAAGACCAGTAGTAAATAATAGTAATGGCTGGACAACCGTGACATATGTTTGAGACTTGTTTGCAAAGATTACTTTCTTGTCATTCTTTTAGGATGTATGACCTATCAGTTGTACTACTCATATACAGGTGCTGATATGAGAGATTTTGATAGAAAGTATATTAAATATAAGAATCACTGCACATCTTGAACAATCCAGGCATCTGAATACATCCCTTTGTCCATCCATATTCAGGATATACTTAGCTCTTTACCCCTAACTTCATACCTGTGCTTTACTGAAGGGAATGTAAGCATATTCTTACTTGCTATCTTTAATAACAATGGGAAACACGATGATTCTAGGTTTATAAATAGCACAGGGGAATTAACAGAATTTTCTAGGAAAGACCAGTTTCTTTATTCCTTTCAATTTTGAGCCCTCATTTCAATGTATACCCATGTTAAAAAAAAAAAAAAAAAAAATCTCAGTTTACTGTTGAAACACTGAATTTTCTTCCCTGAATGGGCAGCTGCCACCACCTTTCACCTCCTAGGGAACAATTTTGGTAAACAGCTTCCAAAGCTGTATTTGAGAGAATAGTGTAAGCTTTGTTATCAGTGAGATTAAAGGTCTGTGGTCCTCCTCCCATGAACATCACCAAGCAGAGAATGTACTCCACAACAGGGACAATGGGGCTGTGGCAGCAACCCAGTGTCTTCCTCACCATCAGAACTGCTGAATGAATCACTCATCAAGAACACATCCTATTCATTCACCTGCCTCAACTCGCTTCCCCTCTTTCAGCTGGTTGGCCACGTGCTGAGGAAGCATGGCATAGAGCAGAGCTTCAGTCTTCTTCTTCTCTTCCTCCAGGTGCTTCGACAGTATACGCAGCTCTTCCTTCTTCCTCTCCAGCTGGTTAGAGAGCTCCATCTCTGCCAGTCGCTGCTGGTTGAGAAGAATTAGATCCCTGGTCACGTCATGAGGTGCAATGTCTGCAATATGCATCTGTCGCTCCTCCAGCTCATGCAAAGTGCGAAGCAAAGGTGAGCAGAGATAGAGCATGCACTGCAGGGACTCCATCCAGATCATCTGGCCTGTTCGGAACAAGTGTTGGTAAGAGTTTTCAGCAGCTTGGACTTTCATGTGATGCTCAGTATTACTGATGTTAATATTAGGGGATGAGTTCTACATACTTTATTATTATTGTTATTCTTTATTTGCTTTGTCAGTATCTTTGGTTTCTGAACAGCAATCTAGGTATTCCTGTTTCTTTCTTCCTCTCTCATTCTATGCCCAGGGAAACTGGATGAACAGCTTGAAAACTAACAGGATTAGAACATCAGAGATGGCATGTGAATTAACCCTGACAGGATAAGAGGAAGTAAAATTGTACCTGTGACTAGTTAAATTTCCTTGTTTTGATAATACCACTTTTTTCAAGGTCTCCCTAAAGGCTTACTTTTTTTTTCTGAAATCAGAGGAATATCAGATTTGACACTGATCATGTAAAGGTGAAAGGAGAGAAGGGAAAATTAGACCAGTGGGAAAGTCTGGAGCAATGAAGACCTACCCTCAGGACAAGAGGTTCAGGTTAGTAAACATTTAAACAAATTGGATATACAAAAGTCCATGAGACATGATGTGATGCACCCAGGAGTTCCGAGGGAGCTGGCCAGCGCCATTGCAAGGCCACTCTCAATTAGCTTTAAAAGGTCACGGTGACCGGGGGAGGTTCCTGAGGACTGGAAGAAAGTAAATGTCACTCCTATTTTCAAGAAGTGTAGGATGGGGGACCAAGGAAGGTTTGGAGTATCTGTCATATATGGAGAAGTTGAGGGAGATGGGGTTGTTCAGCCTAGAGAAGAGAAACCTCAGGGGAACTTATCAATATGTATAAATACCTAATGGGAGGAGGTGAAAAAGACTTTTCTCAGTGGTATCCAGTGAAAGCACAAGACACAACGGGCACTAACTGAAATTCAGGAATTCCATTTAAACATAAGAAAAAAAAAACTTTTTACTGTAAGAGTGGTTAAACACTGGGTAAGTTGCGCAGTCTCTGTCCTTGAACATATTCAAAACCCAACTGTACATGGTCCTGAGTAACCTGCTCTAGTTGACTCTGCTTTGAGGGCGATGGACTAGACAACCTCCAGAGGTGCCTTCCAAACTCAACTGGAGTTGAGTCAATTCTGTGACTCTGTGAGTAGCTGAGACTAGAGGTGATTCAGAAAACAATCTAGTCCTCCCCTGGCCTTGCCCCTGTTACACAGGAAACCTGAAAAGATGTGGGGTTTGTGGAATTAGAAAAAACACTGTGTTTCCAAGCCTTTCAAATGGGAGTGCTACTGTTACTTCTGACTGAAGGCCTTCCAAATCTGGTGAGGTGATAGCAGAACTGGGGTCTGAGCATCTTGAAGTGCTGTCTCTCTAAACAGAACCATCCAATCCTCTCCTCACTGCATAAAGACAAGGCCATTTATAGGACATGTGCGAAGCCAGGAGTCCTTAGAAAGGCATTAGTTCAACTCCAGCATAATTCATGATTTAATATGAACACTTATGCTATTGAAAACAGTGAAGTACCTCTCAGCTCTAGCATTGGCCGTTGTTTCCATGACTCTGGCATCATCTCTCTTCTAGTCTGGAAAACAAATTGGCTGTTGATAAATTTCTGAATGCTAGAGATGGTGAAGGGTACTTCTGGGTGTACGATAGTGAAATAGTGATCCAAGCAGATGCCCATGGTCTGAAGGCCAGGTACAATCTTTTGAATGCTCACCCCAGCTTGCTTCACTCTGAGCTTAAAAAGAAAATACGGACAATGTGTTATAATTTATATCCTGTCCTGTCTGGGTTCAGGCCAAGTTACAGCTGATCACTGTTTATACACGTATGCACACTTAGCCTTGCTATACTGCATGGCTTATTTCAGAGCAAATGTTCTATCCTATTAGCATATCACTGCAAAGCTCTGAATTAGTGTCCTTCATAGCAAGACAAAGCCCCAGGAAGGAATGTTGTTATCCAAATGGTCTTCCCTATCACTTGTTCAAAACCAAACAACAAACCTCCATATCTGCTCTTCTTCTTGCTTACATTTGTGCAGGCCTAAGAGAAAGCCTTACAGGGAGCTGCAAGAGAAAATTAGAGATACCAGAGCATGTCTCGCATTCCAAAAAGAAAATCAATGTGGCACAAAATGTCTGAGCAAATATTAATTTTCTAACGGGTGCCATGGGTTACCTCCTCTTAACCACTGCTGTGTAAAAAGGTTCGGTCATTCTCTTTAAGCCTGCTGACCACACATGAGCTCTTAACTCCTGCAGAAATGTCCACCCTGCCTTCACTGCTTGTCATCAGAGTTATTGAAGCTCTGACCTAGCTATCAGCAATGGGTGCAGGAGTTGCCCTTTTTCCACACCAGTAATTTTATCAAATTATGCTGACTGGATGTCTTGAAAGGTTTAAAACTCTGAACTTTGGCTAATGTGGAGAGTGGCAGGAAGCAGGCTATGTGCTCTGGAATCTCTATCAGCATGATGCCAAAACATGTTCCCCAAGTGGCTGCATTCAGCTTTCTTCTGCTGGCCCATTCTCAGCTTCTCCTTTCTTTGCTCCTCTCTTAATTGGGATCAAGGCGTGCTGTAGCTTGGTGGGAACCCAGGCTAGCTGGAAACCAGCCACAGAGCAGCCCCTGGGAAGGGAAAGGCAGTTCCATCGCTGCAGACTCTGTGTGCACAGGAGAGGAGACTCCGTCCTCCCCAGGCAGATAAAGAGATTTTTGGGTCCAGTTCCTACTGGGTTGCATGCTGCCCAGTTCAGTAGGTAATGGGTTTTCCCAGCAGAATCATGTAGGAGTAGACTCTGGAAGCATGTGGAGCCTCAGTCGCCAGCAAAGCCTTACAAAAGGCTCTGGATAGGTTGGTAACTGGGAGAAGAAGGGTGACTAGCTATAAGTACAAAGCCAGTTTAAAGGATGAATTGTGTCTCTGGCACATACAAGGACAGGAAGGTGTCTGGGAACCTCATAAAATTCTGTTCCATGTTTGCTGATGGATAGACTGCTGCAGTAAACCTTGTTGGCAACCTGCAGCTGTTTCAGACATGGTAATCTCACTAAATTCAAAGGAGATTCTTATCTGAAATGACCCATATCAGGGTGTTATGAGTGACTTCTATTGCGTGTCTCTGTACAGAGCACTTCTGTAAATGCTACAAATGAGCGTGGTGTATACAGCGCACACACAGCAGTGAACGTAGGACAGTAGAACAGAAGAAAATTACTATATGGTTCATGCAAACTAAATGTGCTTACCAAATGCTTGTCCTACCTCTTTGTCAAAAACCATATGAAAAGGAAGTCCATTGCAAAACGTTTTTGTGTCAATCCAGAGGCTCTTGGGATAAACAGGATCAAATCCTCTCAGGAGTTTACCTGTGGCAAGATAGATGTGTAGTTTTAAATCAGGCTGCACCTCATAAAGCCAGTCAGCGTGACTTTTTATCACTCAGGAAGACAGGACTTTATAACATAATGAGTGAAAGCAAAGTAAACAGTGTGTGGGTCCAGAATTGTGCATACATCTGTGCTAAATGCTCCGCAGTTTCATATGCAGCTGATTAGCAACGAATCTGAGTTGGCTGAGAGTTTAAAACTTAACCACACAAAAAGCACAGAGCATGAGATGCATGAAATTGTGTGGAAACAATAAGAGTAGATGAACAACTAGAGATGTTGCTGCTCTATGAATCTGCAGATGTCATAGCAATACAACACAGCTATATCCCAAAAAAAAAAGGTACACAGAAATTGGTTTCATATACTTTGTCAACTACTAGGGAACAGTTATGGAGAAAAACCCGTCATGATCTGGGTTTCGGTCTCCTATATAAAGAGCTGTAGTACATAGCACAGAGACCAAATTACTGTTTGGTTTCTATTTTACCTACCCTGAGTTTTTTTCAAAAATAACCCACAATAATCAAAAGGATACCAGTAATTGACAATAATCAAAAGGATAATTATTTCAAGTGATGTATTTCCCCCAGAAGGTGGCTATGACAGTTACTCTAGTAAATTCTGCTTGATAACAAATGCTCAAGTCACTCAGGAGACTGGTGATAACGATTACAAATTTAGGACCCAACTTTAAGACCTCTTACCACTTCCGAAGTCAGTGGGGATTAGTCATGTTTCAGAGTCTGGCTCTTGGTAAGCGCTAGCTTGTTTTTTTTAAGTAATAGTACTACACTTTTGAATATATATCAGTTTCTTACTCAATATATCTGCTCTTGTAATGCATTTGGCATTACACTGGATGATATCAGGTTCAATTTTTCACTCCTCCCAGAATCTAGACAGCTTGGCGATACTGAGCTGCATTCTCATTCCTCTTGAGGAATCGAAAGATCCTGCAGCAAAAATCCTGGTAACACCACCTTCCATTTTATAAACATACATATAAATAGAGATTATAAACAGAAAATATATAAAGGTATAAACAGAAATTACTAGATTAGTAGTAGATTTTTGGGTGGGGAGGGTATAATTTGGCTTTCAGAATTTACTATAGTTGATAACTTTGGAAAGGAGTAGCGGCTACTAAGTTAAAAAACACTTTTATGACCAAGTGATATGAGAAGGAAGTATCAAATGTACCACACGATGACATCTTTTATAGAAGAATACTTTCCAGAATAAAACTCTGTTTAAGAGACAAAAGTGACAGGTTATATGCCATTGAAGTATCTGTCTTTACTAAGCATGCTTATTATCGGCAATTTTCCTTTGATTACCAGTGTCTAAATGAAAAAATCTTAGCCGGAAACATTTTGAAAAGGTGCAGAGGAAATATGAATGGTAACTTCAAAATGTATGGGTGGGTGGAGAGGGGGTGGCTTACTGATTTTCTTATTGAAGGGACTCAGAAATTATTACAAGCTCCCTCTGAACGATTTCTCACCTTTTCCTAATGTGATTATTCCTCTTATTGTTTTCCAGTGACTTTTTTTGACCGGGCAAACAGAGCTTCCTCTGTCTCTAATTGCATTCTTGGCTTTTTCAAGGTCCTGTTGAAGTAAATAGAAAGTGAAATTCAAGGGTGTTGTCCTGGTTTCAGCTGGGACAGAGTTAACTTTCTTCATAGTAGCTGGTGTGAGGCTGTGTTTTGGATTTGTGCTGAGAAGGTGGCTGATCACACACTGATGTTTAGAGCTGCTGCCAGGACAGTCGAGGACTTTTCAGCTTCTCTGCTGTGCCAGTGTCTGCAGGGGCAGGAGAAGCTGGGAGGGAGCACAGCCCCAGTTACTAGCCCAGGATTCAACCTTAGGTTTAGGATGGAGACCCAGACCGGCCAATGGTCTATTCCATATCATGCCCGTCATGCCCAGTATATAGAGGAGGCTCTGCCCTTAAGTGCTCTCTCTTGCTCAGGGTTGTCTCCCTTTGGGACTCCCCTCTCTCAGGGTGGTGTCAGTCTCTCGGACACTCGGGTTCTTATCTCCATTCTGGGATTGAGGTTTCAGGACTTTCCCTGCTCCAGGATCGTTAGCCGGGAATGGACTTGGTCATCACGTGGTGAGCAGTATCACTGTCTATCACTCATTTGTGTATTTGTATATATTACTATTATTATTATAACAATTATGATTTTCAATATTATTGCAGTTTAGTTATTAAATTGTTCTTATCTCATCCCGCGAGTTTCTCTTCCCTTCACCCCTTTAATTCTCTTCCCCACCCCCAGGAAGCGGGAGAGTGAGCAAGCAGTCATTGTGTTTTGCTGCCAGCCATGGTAAAATTATGACAGGTGGTTTTATTTTCATAATATTTTAACAATACAGTGATAATGAAACTTGAAATACCTCTTTACTCAGTTGGTTCTCATTTCGTTTTTCAGAATCAGCAAGATATTGAGGTGAGGAAGAAAATTCATTTCTTTCCTTGTATGAAAAAACAGGGGTTTGAGTGACAAGAAAAACAATATGTTCTTTTTTCCCAGTTCTTTCTTCTTCTTCTGTTTGATTGATGATTTCCATTGAAATCTCAATGTTAAAAAAATCCAGGGCTGCTGCCCCGATGATTCCTGAAAGGGAAAGGAAAGATAAAGTATTCCCAAGAACAAACCCTTTCTATTTTCCTTTTCAGAGGGAAAAGGGAGCTCACAGTGGAATTTCATTGTTTCAGAAACCACTTTTCCAAAGGACTCCAGAAGAAGAGAGCAACCTGTTGTTACCCATGTCATTCCTACTGCTGTTACTGTGATAAGAATATATGCATAGGAGATAAACTTTAAAGTTACCGTTTCTTTTGTCTTGTGTGATGACAAATGCTTATTTTCACTAGAAAAAGCTCAGCAGGGTATCTGAAGAATGTGTCCAAACAGTCATACATAGCAATAATATGAATTCCCATTAGCCCAAGAAATGCAAGAAAGAGATTCCACCACAACAATCCATTTCAGTCGTTGCAAAATATTTTCTTTTGAAAGGAAGGAAATATCTTTCATGGAGATGCACAATCAGTCCTCTGATTTCTGCTTAGCTATTAGGAGAAGTACTGGACAATGACATGAAAAGCTCTGTCTGCAATTTCAGATAGCTCTGTGTTTCAGTAAGAACATGAAATGAGCTTTCAGCAAAGGGAGAAGTTTTGATAAACTTCTAAATTCAGCAGCATCTATGAAAGAAAGAAATATCATCATCTCTTACAGACTTTGTACCTGTTTAACCCTTGCATGAGTACAACTGTGGAGATTCCTACAAATGCCAGAAAAAGACCCCATTTTGAGCAGGTTTCAATGGCAGTTTTAAAGATTGTATGTACTGCACGAGTATTTATTACAGGGCGGATGGATGGGTGTTTATCTTCAAATCAGCTCTAATTTATGCTTCACTGTAACTTAAGGAACATGAGTTACCGAGAACTAATCAACAGGGAGAAACAATACCCACCATGAATTTTCATTTTCCTTCTAGGAAAGGAACTCTGTAGGAATGCTATACAGGGAACACACATTTATGGCCTGAGCTGTCATACTGTGAATCTTGATGAAGCCACTGGGGGCTAGGAGTAATCAGGCAGCAGGAAAATACCAAGGTCAGATGTCTGGTGACTGAACTCAACCAGGCTTCAATTCCATGGCCAGTCCTCATCAGAAAAAAGATTCTGAAACTGGAGCAAAAGTATAGCTGCAAACGTGTGATTACTCTCTATCTATACTGCAATACCAGCTGATCTGTACTCTGCATTCTATCCGCTTACCTGGCACAATATGGCACAGACCTCTTCGATCCGAATAGTAATGTAAATGCATTGAGCCATCTTCATTCTTTTCTACTCTAAAAGATGGTGCATTCATCTCCTGAGGAAAAACAAAGAAAAACAAAACTTCAGTATCTTTTTCTGATACAGAATACCAGTGAATTCCCCTTGTACAAAAGCATCCCATGTCTTAACAAAATTAGTAGTAATATGAATAAGCTGAAATGTAGAAAATGAAATATGCTTACCTGTGAGGGAAAATCTACAATGCATTAGGGCCAAGGTACTAAATAATATTTAATGTTGATGACTACCCATAAAAAAAAAAAATTAAAAACTGTCTTAACATTTTGGAGTAATCAGTTTCAGAACATAGGAAAGCCTGTTACAGCATCTTTTTTCCATTATTCATTCACACTTGTGAGATGCTGTTCCTTGTGTTGCAAACTCTGGCAGAGTCCACCCATACCTGCCCAGTAATTACTACTCGAACTTGCCTCGTAAGAAAGGGACAGGTAGCTGTGCAGTGCATCCAGGTTCTCTATGAACTCATAGAGATTTCCACCCAGTGTCCTCAGCATGTGGTCATAGCCTGAGCGTTTACAGAATTCAAAGAAATACTCTCCAAACTCTCTCAGAACCATGTAACAAAATAAAGATATCTTAATGAATACAAAAGGCTTGGAAGTTCTTGCAATGCTGTCAGGAGGATTAAGAGCAAATGCACAAAATTTGCAACATAGGGAGGGCATTCCAAAGAGCACAGGAGACTGAAAACCAGGCTTGACCCAGGCTGGTTCATTTTTGAGGCATGGTGACACATACCTAATATTTTGCAGGCTTTGTCAACGAGCTGCATCGTGATCTCATCTTTGTACACCTCAAAAGTCAAGAAAGAATCCTGGACTCCGGCCTGGAGTCTGCAACAGGGAAGACAATATTCCTGTCTTAGCAGAGCTGTAAATACAACAGCTTGGGTGACACAAAGGGCATTCATTAGGCACTGTTTGGTGTTAACCCACTCCTTAACCTCCTTCAGGCATTATATTGGAACACAATACTTTCCCTGATGCTTTAAGAGTGTTGCTTTAACACGGCTGAACGGTGGTGTCCACCTCCCCACTTCTGCTATTCCACATTATTGTATCACGGTAAACTCTTTCAAGGATTAGAGCATCATACTGGGCGTGGCTAGAGAAAGTGGAGTCTTAGTTTGTCTTCTGGTCTACTGGCTTGTTTCATGCGGCCACAATATCAGGCTCTTGGGTCTCCACAGACTGGACCAAAAACTTACTGAATTTTCTTACTGGCTTCAGTGGCTACTATACGTATGTAAGCACCATTTTTACATCTTTATCTCTTGTCACAAAGCTCATAAAGTAAAGACAAAACCAGAGAAGATGATCCATTTAGCTGCTTCTCTGAAGGTACTGGAATTAAAGTGACTTCATATCAAGGATGACATCTTTTCAATATTGTCACAGTGAGCCAGTGAGTCTATTGCACAGTTGTCATAAGACTAAATGTCATCCTTAATTATCTGATATAACAAATTAATTGGGACAAATTAGTATCCAGAGTATGAACTGTTACAAGGTAAGAAACTCTTGCTTTTGCCCTACTAGTTGCTTCTAACAATTACTTGAGACACACATCAGCTGCCATTTACCAGTGAGAAATTGTAATCCTCTGCTGCTCAATGCCTGAGCATTTATTTTCAATACGCTGCATTTATTAGGAACACATTACCTTAATTTTTCCCATGTTTCTTCACCATACTTTTCAACCACCAAAGACTTCAGGCATGTATTTATAAATCCATACTGCAAAAGAAAATGTACGAACATGAAAAAGACATGCCGATTTTCAAAATGCAGCCCAAACATGCCACCTTCTTGTATTTAATATTCCACTGCTAAGTTGTATCGCAAAAGAGAAAGTAATAACGTTTGACTGCCATTATGTCTTTCAGTAAACAGCATAGCCTTTACCTCAGCATTTCCCAAGCATTTAGCGAAACAGAGGAAACGCATTCAATCCTGGTTTGCAGAGGAGGACCCAGAAACACCAGGTCACGCTCTGCTGGCCCCGCACAGCCGCAGTGTGCCGGGAGGTAAGTTGGGCTTTGCCGTGGCTGTTACTCTTTGCCTTGGTGCTGACGAACCGCAGGCTGGAAACGGGGGGAACAAAATCCTAAAAGAATAACCCCAAAAGCAGCGCTATCACAGCAGCAACAGTCCAG